AGTAATAAAATTGCTCTAGAGTTGTTCACCATGTTTTCATACTCTGAAAATATCAAACCATTGAGATATATACTTTAAATAAGTGAATTATCTGATCTATTATTATATTTACATAAAAATGGCAACCAAGAAACCAGTTAATTTTTTCACTAGTATTGATCTGAGATTGATCTATGTGTACACTACTCTGAAAGCTGCAGAAATGTTTATTCAAGAGGTACTAAATTTATCCGTGGTCAGAAATATATATATATATAAAATTTCAGTACTTGGTTAAAAATTTGCAAATAACAGTATAGCCTATAGAGTTGATAATGGGTGTGATATACAATGAATATTAACATGAAAAAAAAGATTCTAAAATCCCAGCTTTTTCTAAGGCAGAATAAAAAGAATATTCAACTTCTGTTTTTTAAACTCTTGATGAATCTATTCAATTGCTCTGAGTGTTAAGCTAACATATAAAGCAATTGTGGAAATGTGTTATAAATCTGATTTGACTGATGTTTTATCATTGCATGTAGTGCCTCATTTGTATCTGTTGGGTTTTAAAGAATACCACGCAAAAAGGGCTACACCTGAGCATCAAGCGTGTTACAGCAGTGAGGCCAAGTGAATGTAATTCAGAGTTGTGCTGTGTTGAGACATGGGAGGGGGCGCACACACACACACACACTCACAAGGGCTGCAACTGCCAGTGTTCTTGGGTGAGTTTCTCATATTGTCAGAATGCAGCTTCTCCCACTTCTTCATTGTTGAAATCGTTCTGCCTCAACACACTCCTGTTCAGCTCCTCAGTAGTTTACTAGTTGCCCAGGGAATACTAAGTTGTCATTCCTCCCAACCCTCCTTTTCCATTGATACCCTTTCCTCAATTAAGAAATCGTGTGCAGCTAAGGTTGTAGCTCATTGATGCAGTGCCGCACTAACATGTATATTGTCCTGAGTCTACGTAAAAAAAAAACACAGAAATTTTGTGAAGATACAATTTAATGTGGGAATATTAACATTGTTATGGAAAACATACTTCTAAAATCACAGAGAATTTCTTATTCCAGAGATAATGGTAGTGAAATTTATAGGCGATTTCCTGAATTAGTGTTTCCTTTCTCACTTGATTTCAGGAACTTCTTCAATGATAAATTCTGTATATTCATTATTGAAGTTTATTTTCCAGAGATTATTAGATGCCTCTGAATTATGCTATTCCTTGTCATCTCTCTAACCACAGTGGTTGGAATTTTTGGATGTTTTCATTAAGTATGACAATACCCAAGACAGTGTATATCTTCCAGAGAAATATTGTTCTCATCTTGATCTGAGTGAATGACCCAGCCTAGAAAAATAATAGTGTTCAGTCTTCAAAATTTCATGTCGAATTCTTTCTTTCTCTATTGTATCATTTAAGTGCTATTGTTATGCATGTACTGGCCTCAACAAATGCTGACCCAAGGAACACAACTGAATGAAAATATTTTCCCCCCTAATATTGGAGTCTGGTGGTGTTCCTTTTTATTATTTTATTATTATTATTGTTATTATTATTTTTTTATCTGACATGGCTTTCACTGGGAAATAGGGGTGGTGGCAAAGAGAAGACAAGCAAACACAAATTAACTGAAATGCTTCCATATTCAATGGTTTTCTGGAGAGAGAGAGGAAAAGAAGGGAGAGGGGGAGAGAGAGAGAGAGCAAGTTTTTATTATTTTAGTAGCTTACCTGTCACGTCAAGTGGGTCCAGCCACAAATACCTGAAGCACACATGAAATGATTAAAGTCCGAGAAGAATATATTGTTGGAGAATCAATATTTCTCTTACTGACCTTTATTTTTGGGACATGGAACATTTATCTCTTGATTTCTCCCTGGTGGAATTCCACTAAAAAAAAAAATCATTCACCATAGCCATTAAACAAAACAAAATAAATTAATAAAAAAACTTCTCTTCAATCTTCATTTTTCAAAAACAGTGGTTTCTTATACATCAGAAATCAATGAATTGGTTTAATGTTTTCTTTTTTAGTATTTTCCTAAGTACTTAATGTTAATGCTTCCTAATCTCTTCCAGCTTCATGATTTATTAGACATTTCCTTAAAATATTTGCATCCATCCACTTTATGGTGGCTGTTTGAGCAAAACCTCTTGTCCAAAATAAGCCTAGAGATGTATTTTTTTTGTGAGTGATGTATTTTTTGACTCAACATTACTTGCATTAACTTTCTATATTTGATGTAGTCATAGTCATTTATCGTTCGTTTTTTCCTTCTTGAAATATTTAGTTAATAAATAAAATTGTATATGTTCAGGGCATACAACCTGAAGATTTGGTATACATATACATCATGTAGTGATTAGCACAGTCAAGTTAATTAGAACATCCATCACCACTCATGCTCTGTGTGTGTGCTTGTGTGTGTGTGCGCACATGTGTGTGTGTGTGTGTGTGCACATACCAGTGTGGTGAGTGCATGCTTACTTCTTCTCTCATTAGATTTCAAGTCAGCAATGCGGTGGCTATGACCTTATTTACTGCAGCGTACATTAGATCCCCAGCACTTACACGTGTCATAATTGGGTCCTTTGCCTTTTCCTCTCTTCTGATATGAAGTGTGCCAAAGTGAGGTTTTATGCTATTATGCTAGGACATTAGTAGCGAGGTAAAATGGAGTATTTAGTAAAATTGACTTGGCAAAGCTGTTATGATATCTACATTAATTGAAACTTGAAAAATGTCTACATATAATGTTAAATAATATTGTTAACTCAGAGTTTCTGGTAGTTGGTATTTACTAGACCCCTGCAGTTAGGTGCCAGTCTCCTGCCCAGTACATGATGCAGGCCTGAGAAATAAAACTAAAAGACAGAACTAGGAGAGATAAAGTGAGGTGCCAGGATGACCAATGCCAGTGCGACCGACAAAGGCCCTGACCAGTCCCAGGCACTTTTATTGGCAGTCAACTGGGGTAAAGGCAAGCTATGTGCAGTTTCTATGGAAATGAAGGTAAACAAGGCTCATAAAGGACAAGACAAAGCACTCTCGAATTAGGAACAGAATAGATAAATGTATGGTTGTAATTAGAACATTGTCCCTCAAGTAAGAGGGTTTTAGTTGTGGGAACGGAATTTGGGTGTGAGTTATTCTGACCTCGGCATGTAGGCTTCAGTTGGACTCACTTCTATAAACAAGACAATTGTGGGGTTATCGCCTTACAGCCTGCTTTGGGCATAAAGAGTGTTACGGTCCTCTGCAGGTACTGAAATGGAATAGAACAAAGAACAAAGCAGAGGCTGACAATCTCAAAGCTAGGCAGAGGCTGAGGGTCTCAAGGCTGCCAGTCTAGGGCTGATGGTCTCGTCTAAGTCTTGCCCCTCTTGCTGAACCCACAGAGGTCACTGTGCCTGGAAGACGAACTGCTGAGACACAACTGCCTACCTCCCTGTGTCTTACAGATAAACTGTACAAACAACATTTACCTCCACTTCCCCATCCTTTGTAAGTTCTGCTTGCTCCCTCGCCCTGGCTAAAGAACAGAGAAATCTGAGAACAAATGGAAAAATGGGGCTCAGATTCTGGAAACTGACATCCAGTGAGTCCGCTAGCTAGCAGATAAACCTGCCTCTCCCTCCAGTTCTCTAAGGGCCACTCTCTTCCTTGGTCTGCCTGCCCTCCAAGTGCTATTTCAGGATGATTATCTTAAAGGCTGATTTTAACTGCTTTGACAATACGATGGTATTTATGCTCATGTGACAGTATATTATAGATTTTAAGTGTTTTCAATGAAACATGTTCATTCAACATTCAATGGATTTTATTTTATCTCAAAGAATTTTACTTCATGATGGTGCAGTAAGGAAAATCTTAAGATTCTGAAAAACTGAAAGTAACACTATTTTCACGGCAAATGTGGTGACATGCAATGACTGTGTCCAAAATCAACTATATTCTTGCATACATGTCAGAAATTTCCTGTAATTCTGACTATCTGACACCTTAAAGACATTTTCAAAGGATGGAAGAGAAATATAATCTGGAATCCATGTGATTATTTTCTTTTTTTTTTTACAAGTTGGTTAATCAATTAATACAGTGAAAAAATGAAAGTCAAAAAATTTAGTGAACCTGTGATATTACTTAAAATTGAGAAATGTCAATATAGAGAAAAGGCAAAAATATCAAATAAACTGAACACAAAAGTTAAAGTACGTGTAATCACACCTCTTTTAGATGAATAGGAAAGAATGTATAAAATGGAACAAGAAGTTATTCAGACCATCAACTGGCATTAGAGCGCAAACTTGAGCATTTTCAATAAATGAATTCAAAATTGATCTTAATTTATATGCACATGAGCATTAAGAAACTGGGCTAAGAAAAAGTGATAGCCCTTCCAAGTATATGGATTACTGAACTACAGTTAACAGACTCTCATGTGAAAACAAAGACATTAATCGAGGAATGTGTAGGATACCAAAGCTTGAAGTAGTTATTATTTCAGTATATTTGTAAGACTTCAAATCAACACATAACATATAAAGAATCAGTGTTGAGTATAACTGCAAGATACAGCAGCCAAAATTACAAAGGGGAAGGCATAAGAATAAAGATAACATGCATACAGCCCACACATATGAGTTAGAAAATGCAACTTACCCTGCAACTGCTGATAAAAACAAGAGGACCCTGCCAATTCCTCTGTCATTTCCACTGCTCCCAACAATGTCACAAAACACTTACTTTCTTTGTCACCAGTGGTTTTTATTCCATATTGCTTTAATATATTTGCACTATATCTTTAACTTATGATATATATGATCCACATATCTCTCTCAAAAGAGGCAAAGTTGTGTTTTTAATTTTTTTGTTTTCTTCATTAATCTATGACAATTAAAAGTAGCTGGTATATGTAATATGATATGTAAATAAATGTTAAACCCATTTTTACTTTTTATTTCTTCTGGATGCAAACATAGCAAAGATTTATGATTTAATTCATGGGAATCAGAGTTTACAAAAACCTAGAACGATATTACATACGTTATTCCAGGTTCTTTGTAGGGCATATTTTACATCTTTGTTCCTCAAGCTGTAGATCAAGGGATTCAACATGGGGATGACCTGTAGGGGACAGGGGAAGGGGACGTTACCAGAACCTCTGCAGTTAGTCCTGGTCTCCTGCGAGCCATGGCAGCACACGGCGAATTACAGGAAAGGTAGAAAAATGAGACCGAGAAGAAGCTGAGCTTTGGGTCTGATCAGTGCTGCTCTGGGCAGCAAAGACAAAAGCTCCCAGCTTACCACACCTTTTATTCAGTACATTGGGAGAAACAAATGTAACAGATGACTTGCAGAGAGTTCAATAGTTCACATTGGGATAAACAAGGTGTAACGGAAGGCTTGCAGAGAGTTCAGTACATCTCCGGCAAACAAGATGTTAATCAGTCCAAGAACAATGAGGAACTGAGCAGGTGTTTGTTCTCCCAGGATGTTTCTTGTCCTGGAGAATCACAGCATCACTGGATCACTGAAGTCTCAGTTGTGACCGGAGGCCAAACTGGAGTTATTCTGTAGCTGGGCTGTAGGCAAGAGAACTAGGCTAACCAAATGATTTATCCCTAGAATTATGTAGCATTGCTCCCAACAATGACCAGGGTGTAAAATATGGAAGCCACTTTGTCAGTGTCACTAGAGTGACTGGACTTGGGCTGCACGTACATAAATATCAGTGTCCCATAGAACACAGTGACCACAGTCAGGTGGGACCCGCAGGTGGAGAAGGCCTTGCGCCTGCTCTCTGCAGACTTCATCCTGAGAATGGCTCCGAGGATGAGCAAGTAGGACACGAGGATAATGAGAAGAGAGGAAATCAAATCAAAAGCTGCTAAAGTCAGAATTATCAATTCAATTTCATGAGTATCTGAGCAGAGCAAAGATAACAAAGGGAGACCATCACAGTAGAAATAACTGATGACATTATGGCCACAAAATAAAGAAGAGAAAATCTTTGTGGTGACCAGAAGAGACACAAATGTGCAGTAGAGATAGGGAATCGCCACTAGTATATGACATACTTTTTGTGACATGAAGGTAGTGTAAAGTAGAGGGTTACAGATGGCCACATAGTGGTCATAGGGCATTGCAGACAGAATGAAAAGCTCATTAACAATGAAAACTAGAAAGAAAGCCAGCTGTGTAGCACAAAAATAATAGGAGATTGTATTTTGATCTTCCACAAAATTTACTAACATTTTGGGCCCCACGGCTGTGGAATAACCAAGATCAGTGAGAGCCAGGTGTCTGAGGAAAAAGTACATGGAAGTTTGCAGCCTGGGGTCCACCTGGGTGAGGATGATCATGCCCAGGTTGCCCAGCAGCGAGCTCTGGTAGATGATGAGGAACAGGAGGAACAGTGGAGCCTGCAGCTCAGGGCGATTTGTGATGCCCAGCAGGATGAACTCAGTCACCGCTGTGAGGTTGGGCCCCTCCATCCAGGTCAATCAGGAGACCTGTTCTAGGTAGAGATACAAGCATAACCAAGAGCTTTCCTGTATTGTCACCTGGGAGGTTTTATAGCATACAAACAGTACAAGTAAGTACTTAAAATTTTTCCACTGGATGATATTTGACAATAAATGCTTTTTTTTTTTTTACAAATAAAATTACATATACATAACATTAGAGTTAAAGACATGAGCAATCAGTAGTTTTAAACTGGGGTTGATTTCACTCACCAAACAATGTTTTCCAAGTCTAGACTCATTGTGTCTGTTGGAAGTGGGAGTGGGGCTGCTACTGACATCTAAAGATTGAAGGCCAGTTAGGCATCCTGTTCTATCCAATGCCAATCTCTCAGTAATATCCAATGCAAACAGTTAATAATACCGAAGTTGAAAAATCTAGATGAGGTATATAAATGTATTGATGATAAATAGATGGATATGAGGCTATATAGCTATGGATGTGAAAGCAAAAATTTCCAAAGTGGATATTGAAACAAAGTATTGAATACGTGTAATGATTTCAATTTTCAATATGATTGTAGTCTCATGGTCCTCTTTGTAAATTACCTTGAATACAAAGTTTCAATTCTGGCTATATAAAAATGTCTAGCCCCAAATTCCAAAAAATGAATAAAACCTGCATCCAAATGTAATCCTCAGAAAACTTTTATTTCTCATGACAGTTCAGCTAAACTTTCAATACACTGGACAGATATTGGTCTTTTATATCAATAAGAACAACAAAAATTGGTCACAGTGATATTCATATTAATGTTAGTACAGAAAACACAAGAAAATATATGTATGGAATATGTCCTGCATTGTGTCTTGATGTATGTTATATTCGAAGGGTTACTTTAAGTAAAATGTGCATGTAACCTACAGATATTTGTATTTATATTCAAAATCAACATGTCCTGGCAGTGTATAGGGGAGAGTCAGTGAATTTTAAATGATTCCTTATGCCTCTGCTATATACAATAATTCAAAAATCAAATCCCTAATGCTTTCTTTTATCATTATTTTTGTTTTGTAAATTTGTGTCAGTATCTTACTTGAAAGTTTTAATTACACATGTATATGTAAATTCTTCTGGACTATGAATTAGCTACACTGTCCAGTGTGTAAAGATTCAGGCATGAGGGACAGGTCTAGAAGGATGCAACCCATACCAGCGTTTCCCCATCTGCACCCCAATACTTGACAAAATTCAGGCAATGAATGCGTGAATGTTTTGCATTACTTATCTTCTATTTTCATAAATAGTCTCTAAGATTTTCATATGAATGATTTTATGTATGCTATATTGAAATATTAATCTTCTTCCAAGGGAATATTCATTACAACTGAGGAACGCTAACTTAAAAGTAGATAAATTCAATATATCATGCAAATAAGAGTAAATAACAACCGATTAGGAGAAAAAAGTCATTAACATTGCTTTTATATAGTAAGAGCACACGGAAAGTCCCCTCTGGTTACAGAAATATTATAGCATAAATTTTTGTGGGATTAAAATAACTGTTATATCATAATATAGAGACAAAACAAAATACACCATAGATGAGATGCCCATATATTCTTAGGTATGATTTAGAATCTCGTGCATGTAAGCAAAAGTAATTTCATCCAATTATGATACAGCATATGAAACAGGTAAATGTATGTATAACTGAAGAGAAATATAACTGAATAGCTTCAAAACTAAAATTAAAGCATTTTATGCAGTGGGAAGAATTTTAATGTAAAATAATTATTGATTTGCAAAATAATGAGCTCAGGTAGATTGTTTTAAAAGTGACAGAAAAATAATATTGTGTACAATGAAAGAGTGAAGGTGAGCTCAGTGAGCTGTCAGCTCAAATGAAAACAGAATTTTACACTATATATAAAGAGAACTTTATGTAACTTGCACTTCAGTCATTTAATATATTGTTTTTAAGGTGGTCACCTACTGTATTCCCGCTTTATCCCAAGGAACACACCATTCTTGTATCAGAACTATGGAAACACGTACTAATGGGTAGTATGATTAGGAAAGCATTCAGTAAACTCAAGAAGAAAAAAAGAGAAAGAAATCTTCTCTCTTGTATATTTGCTTTGGTTAATTTTGCAATTATGAATGTAAAAGCAGAAAGAAAGAAAATCACATTTGATATGGACGTGTTTTCTTGGTAGTTTAAGAAACAAATAAGCTTTGCTAGCTTTGGAGTTCTGTACAAAGAACCAGATTGTTTTTCATAGTTTTGCCTTTGTTGATTATTGATTACAATAGTTAAGAAAAAATACTCTTTGAGATAATTGTATCTGCTTTTTGTCAGATGGCATTGAAAATCAAAATATATCCTGGAAGGTCTATTTTAACATAAAAATGGAAAAATCTTGATTCTCCAGTAAGCACTTTTCATATCGGACTGTGAGACACAAACTCTTTTTTGGTAATTAACAAATGAGGAAAGAATTATATGAACCCCATAATTTTAATACTTATTGTTGAGTATTAATTGTTTTTCAGAGTGTCGAGTCTAGAGCAACTAAATATGTACGTGTTTAGAAGTACATTAATACAAGCAGTTAAATATCTTCAGTATTTCATGATAAAAATATTAAGACCCCTTTAGTTATAGTTCATTGTATCACAATTTTGGACACAATTAGAGATAAAAATTCCTTTGGAAAGATATTTTATAAGTAATTCCAGGATGTTTGAATGATGCATATATATAGAGTCTACCATCATGTAAAATACTTTAAAAATTCTATGACGAAAGAAAGGAAGTTGTATTTCTATTTAGGCATTCTTGAATGGTAGAAAGCACAGAGTATAGACAACAAGTGGCAACATTTTGCAAGGCTTTGACATCAAATCAAAATGGAACACCATAATTGTGCCTGGCATATGGTGGTGGTCAGTGCCATAATACCACATGAAACACTCTGTCACTGTTACCTGTAATGAAGGCTCTTTCCTGACTCACTCATGTTTTCTTATTTGGCACACTAAGAATAATTTATGGATTTTTGCCCTTCAGCCTCTCCTAAGGAGATGCTGAATCATTGGCTGATTATCCAGAAAGCATCTGAGAATGTAATAAAGTACCCAGGGACTGCCCATTAATCAAGAACAATTTGTGTTCATTAGTGTACTAGGGTTCTCCAGGGAAATAAAACCAAAAGGAATTTATTAGAAGGGATTTGGCACAAATAATTATTACCTCTTTTTAAAATTTTTAAAATTAATCACCAGAGAATATAGGAAATTGTATATTCTAATAATAGACTTATTAAGACATTCCCACAAGTATTTGTCTTTATGATGAGTTTACATGGACTATTTATGTAATCATGAAACTTTGTAATTAATTAAGAAATTATAAATGATTCTCCTGTTTTGGATGAAGCAAACCAGAAATGCAAGGAATTTCTGGACTAGGAAAATGAGGACTTCCATGAAGGACTCAGTTATAGTTTAGATCAAAGGGTCCCAAATGTCAGATATGTTCAGTGGTGGGGTTTTGGACAGTATTGGATCATGAGGGAAATGATTCCTTCATTGATGAGTTCATAGCTCCATGTTCTAGTTATAGGTAGGGCTCATTTGGAGGATGTAGGTCTTTGAAGATGAGCCTTTGAAGGGTATCTACTGTCCCAGCCCCCTCCACTCCCTGTAGTTCTTTCTTGTCCTCTCTGCTTCCTCCTGGCCTGGTTGCAGCTCTCCCTACCACACTACGCCCTTCCACCATGATGTTTCTGCCCCAGAGCCAACACTGACTGAAATCTGTGAAACAATGTCCCCAAAGAAATCTTATTCCTTCAGTTTGTGTATGTCAGATGTGTTGTCCCATCAGCACAAAGGTGACTAACATGGCATCCCTCAATGAAATCCATGAAAACACTGATAAATATTCCAAAGAATAAACAGTCACAGAACTCTGAAAATCAGCAATGTTATAGAAGATTTGAGGTGCTCTGTCAACCAATTTGAGCTGAATGAAACCTATAGTACAATGGTTAAGGAAATAATGTGTCAGAGAGCATGGCAGATTTTTCTCAGCCTTGACATTCCTAATATTTTGGACTGGATAATTTACATCTGTTAGGGGCTCCTCTGAAACTCGTAGGTAATTATTGGAGCACACCTGTCCTCTCTACTCTCCATGATAATATCATTCCTTATACTTCCCTGTCACCTCTAAAATCAATACGGTCTGTAGACATTGGTAATTGAAATGTGTCCTGCGAGTGGGGGAGCTGCTAGTTTGCAATTCATTGTAATTTAATTAGAAAATATTATTAAATTTAAATCAGAATAAATTACCTAAATTTGCATTCAAACATATTATTATAATACCCTTATTAATAAACTATTAAAGTGATCTAATAATTTTATACTTGGATGCCTGGGTGCCTTCATTTTTGTCTATTCTCAACAAATAGAGTTATGTGTTCTCAAATGAGATAAAATATTTTAAAATTAACTTTTTTGTGGGAAATAGGATTTGATGTCAAGTGTTATAGTATGTACCACATGGGAAACATAATTCTAAGCAAAATCTGCATAAATGAATGCATAGAATGATTTTTATGGTAAACATTTATTTATTGAGCCTTATTAATAAAGACCAAGGGATTCCATTAATTTTATTAGTAGGGAGAAAAACAGATTGAAAGCTAAGCCTGCTTTTTGTTTGTTTAATGAAGTAATTTCTTTATTTCATGAATGAGAAACCCTGGATTTAATTGACGACTATGTCCTTCAGAGCCTCTTTTCCACCTTTTTCCTGAAGCTGTAGATCCAGGGGTAGAATCAAGTGCTCAGAGTGGGCCAGAATCGCTGTGGGGGAGATAGACATCTGCTTCCCTTTTCGAGGGTTCAGACAGAGCTTGGTTGGGACAGAGGTTGGTTTTGCTTTGGCAGGCCGCTGCACCACTGAGCTAAATCCCCGGGTCCAGAGCTTGGTTTTAAGTGCAGAGGTCAGAGCGCCATAGAGCATGTTGACACATGAAGTATTTTATCCTGAAAATTTGAAGTCTTGAACTGGGAAAATATTTCTACTTTTTGATTCTCTAATTAGTCTGACCCAGTGTCAACAGCGTTAAGTGATTATTGAGAAACTAGGTGGATGAGATAAAGTTCTCTCTCTCTCCCCCTTGCTTGGGTGCATGTGTACATGCGTGCATGTGTGTATCAGAATGCCACCCCCATTGTCAAGTGGATGGCACAGGTGGAGTAGATTTTGTTGCTCTCCTCAATTAAATTCATTTTGATACTGGCTAAGAGAATAAACAAGTAAGATATGATAACAACAAGGAGGAAGAACAGCCAATTACAGCCCAAGAAATTCAGAATGATCAAGTCCGAGTCACAGGTAGAAAAGAAAATTGCAGATGACATCATAAAAATCATGTTCTTTATCTCAAGTTTTAAATAGATTCTCTTACTCCCAATAGGCAAAAAAAAAAAAAAAATCACTCATAGGCACATTCATCTTCAATGAAACAATATTGAAACTTGCTTTACAAGGTTCAGATACCTTGAAGTGGTTGTTTTGACAGAGATATTAAAGAAAAAGAACAAGAAAACACTTTTCCAACAACTTGTGGAATAATAACTAAGGTAAACTTCTGACCATTAAACTTATGTCTCAATAATTCTGACTGTAAATATACCTTGCTTACCTAACATTAAAACTAGTATCATACACAGTTAACTTTAGAATTTCACTAATAAGACCTAGGCTGCATTTGACACATCTATATTCTGTTGATTCAAGAGCATATTAAGTAATAGAGAATTATGAAAGATTAAACAGCACAAGAACACAAATAAATACCCAGAATGAGAAGGAACTCATTTTGTGTCTGGCAATTTTCTCAGCACTTTACAGATGTGAACTCAAGTGTTCCACACAAATATTTTAGAAGGCAGATAGTAATAACATATGTATTTATAAGGCAAAGAAAATGTGGTTCTGAGAGTTAGATAATTTAATAAATACCATTCAAGATGTCAGTAGTAGGATCAGATAATTTCCTTCTGCTTTTTGGGTGTAATCTTATAAACACTAAAACATACCACCTTTCCATGAAGGACACTTTGACTGGATAGAGAATGAGGGATAGGAGAAGAAAGCATAAGGAAAATAATGATAGACAAAGATCCATGTTGAAATGGATTACTGATGCCGGAAGTTAATTTGAAAACTACAGCTTTACAAGTAGTGAACAACATAAATTACTGAGAACTATACAAAGGATTGTCCTGTGTGTCAACCCTTCTGATTACAAACAAAATATGTAATGAAGGGGAAGCAATTCTCTTACAGATCATAAGATCCTGCGTGAATTTTGTTGTAATCTAATTTGAGGCATGTGCAACTAGACATTTTCAAAGTTCAAAGTTTCCACTTACCTTTGTGGGAAATCTGCTTTGGCTTTCTTGTTTTAATCTTAACATGTTATTATAGCATGGATTTTTGTTTTATTTTACCCTTGAGTCTTATTTTGTTGAAGTTTTCAGCTAATTGAAAGTTAAACACATTATACATAATTACCCAAGAGGCAGTGGCTTATTATTTTCTGAATGTTGCATTAGCAAGTGTAAAAAATCATTTTATTCCTCAATCTAACTGAATAAAAATTATTCAGTATCACTAAACACTGGAAATCATAAATATGTTTTTATAAAAACTTTAGCGTGACAATATTATGCAGATATTAAGTATGCAATACACATCACATAAAATATGAGTAAATAGAATAATGACTTTTTAAGAAAAGATAATTCAGTTTTTGACACTTTGACATCAGTTATCCAAGGATACTATTCCTGGATATAGAACTTTGCCAGGCATACAAACATAGAATGATATAAGATGTTCCATGTATCGTAATGTTTCTGTCAATAAGTTGTTAGTGTTAGATAGATCATTTCTTTACACATGTTTATAATGAATCTTTTTTTTTTTTTTTGGTACCGGGGATTGAACTCGGGTCCTTGCACTTGCGCAGCAGGTGGTGAAACCACTGAGCTGAATCCCCGGCCCACGAACCTTTTAATTTAGCTAGTTTTGAAGGACTTTTTATCATTGATTTTCAGAAGTTTGTTTTTGATTCACTTTGATAAAATTGTCTTCCTGTTTACCAGATTGGAGTTATTTGACCTCTTCTCTCTGTGATATTATTATTATTATTAATTTTTGAGACAGGGTCTTGCATTGTAGTTCAGCCTGGCCTTGCACTCATGGCATAGCCCTGGATAGCACTGAACTCTCAGCAATCTCTCTGCCTCTGCTTCCTGAGTGCTGGGTTTACAAGTGGGCACCACAACATCCAGAACTTCTGGTATTTTTTTTTTTATAATTTTGGAAAGAAATTCTAACATTTGTTCATGTTTTTTCCTGCCCTATGATGTCTCTCTTCCCATTTAGTTTTATAATCAATGTTTGACATCTTCTTTTAGTTTTACCAGTAGCAGATTATTTTCATAATTTTTCCTCAGTGCATTCTTTTCTCAATGTCTTCATTTTGGGGAGATCTTGGTGAAACTTCAGACTTATTTCCCAGCGCCAAAAACTGCCTTAAGTAGCTCTGTTTCTAAGGTCTCTACTAGATGCCCAGATTTTGAACAAAAATGCTCTACACACTAGATTTTAAGAACTCAAATGTTTTCCTGAACAAAAATCCAGAGACAATCTATATACATTCTGTTTGCAAGAGACTTACATTTTTGTACTGCAATTTTAGATTCAGTATATACAATAAAACAGTACTAAGAAGAAAAGTTTCAGAGACCATACAAAACAATAAATGCAATATAAACACATAGTTTATTATTACATAGAATGTAATAGGAATTTTCATCAAAAGAATAATTTTACAGAAGAAGCAATATTGAATAAAAGCCAGAGAATGTTGGAGAAGAAGTGATACTTAATGGATATTTAGAATTTGAGGGTTAACCAGGGTAAATACATAGAAAATAATCTAGTTTTCTTAGATGTTACAATGAGGTTTTCCAGTGGAGTTGATGAATGTATTCATATCGATTAGCAGTGCTTTTAAGTGACACTGCCTTTGTCCTGCATTGTTAGACCAGCATTCTAAATGGAACATTAAAAAAAAAATTAAATTTATTCCTAAAGACCCGGTGGAAGGCATTTTTTACCTCTTTGTTCCTAAAGCTGTAGATTAAGGGGTTCAGCATGGGGATCACTAATGTGTAAAAGACAGAGGTCAGTTTATCAGTTTCAAAGGAATGAGTGGATTTGGGCTGTACGTACATGAAGAGAAGAGTCGCATAGAAGACTACCACCACTGTCAGATGGGAGGCACACGTGGAGAAAGCTTTTCGTTTTCCCTCTGCAGACTTCATACGACATACTGCTAAGAGAATCAGCACGTAGGACAGAAGAACTACCAGGAGGGAGGAGATCAAATTGAATGCTGAAAATAAGATGATCAGCAATTTTATATCTCTTGCATTTGAACACAACATGAGTAACACAGGAACATTATCACAGTAGAAATGCCTGATGTGAGAGCTACAGAAAGTCAACACAAAAATCTTACTAGTGATCATGCCAGCCTGAAAGCTGCTGTAGAGGTATGGAATGCCCACCAGCACGTGGCAACGTGCCCGAGACATGATGATGCTGTAGAGCAGAGGGTTGCAGATGGCCACATAGCGGTCATAGGCCATGGCTGACAAGATGAAAAGTTCACTGATGATGAATGCAATGAAGAAGGCCATCTGGGTGGCACATGCATGAGATGAAATGGTATTTTGACCCATAACAAAATTTAGCAGCATTTTGGGATAAATGGTGGTGGCATCACCCAGATCCATGTAAGCCAAGTGTCTGATAAAAAAATACATGGCTGTGTGTAAGTGGGAATCCAGCTTGGTCAGAATGATCATGCCCAGGTTGCCCACCACAGTGATAGCATAGATGATGAGGAAGATCCAGGAAAGGGGAAGCTGCAGGTCAGGCAGGCTGGAGACTGCACTCAGAATAAAGTAGGTGGGCTCTGTTAGATTCTTTCTGCCCATGAAGTCCAGATATCTCCTTTGAGAAGAAAAGGGAGAGATGTTATGTCTTTTATTTAGAATCATAGAGCAATTATAATAGTCTTTCAAAGAATGGAAATGTTTATTCTAGAAAGCAATAGAATACTAATTTTATCTTCTAATTCTTAAAGTTAAACAATGTAATTTTCTGTTTCTCCAAATGAAATATCCATGTGAAACACATTCACTCTTATGACATAGATTAAATTCTTAAGAGGGTCAACAATATTTGGAACACTATTATTAACAAAACCATATATGTGTTAATATAAAATATTAGGCTTCATTTCTTCTACACAACTGAATCACAGTTTTTTTCTTAATATACTAGAGGTTTGGAAAAATATAGTAAATGTTGAATATTTATCACAGTAATGCACATTACCATAAATCAGACTCAAAACATTCCATGTTACTTCACACACACACACACACACACACACAGCCAATTATTGTTGCTACTGTCAGAAGCAGGTCTGGATGTGTTTCACAAATGCATTAAGGACTGGTGGTCAAAGTTGATGAATCCCGCCACTAGGTGCCATGCAGTGGAAAGACAGTCTCCATAAAAACAATATGGTAGGTGTCATCCACCTTAGTCACCAGATCTGTCAACACTCAATTATGGGTTCTTGTCCAATGTTCAAATGATGATGAATGGCAAATGTTTGGAATCCCTTCAAAACATCAAGGCAGTCACAATAGTGCAACAATAATCACAAAATACAATTTCCAGAGCTGCTTCAGAAAGTGGCAAGAAAATAAAGGGATAATTATGTGCCATATGAAGAGAGTTTTGAAAATGATTAATGCCAATATGTCTTTTACTTTATAAAATTATTATTTATTTGAAAATACTGTATTTTTCAAGGATACCTCTACTTCCAATTTGGTCTTGTAATTGTAGTAGGGTTTTAGTATTCTGAAAAGTCATGGAGAGCTTCATCAATGAATTCACAAAGCAATGTATCTTTGCTAAAGTTTCAAAAATAAAATACATAAACTACAGTCAATTGCGTTGTCTTTGTCTTTACATTCTGAGTTCCACTCCCTCATGCTGTAATTGAAGCCATGGTGTATCAACCTCTACAGACATCTGTAGTGTTTAAGTAAGAGAGATTTGGATTAATGTCATTTTATGTATTGATTAGTAGGCACATTTCGATAGGCAAGATGTGGACCTGTTCTAGCTAATATAAGTGGTTTATGTTGATACACACATATCTTTGGTGTTTAATTTTATGGCCCTTATTTTCAAAAATAATACTAGTAAAAGATATCACAATTTGTATTTAATTTTAAATTATTATGTGAGCAATTTCATAGCATATGTGGAAGCTCTTAAATGCATTCTGCAGTATTGACATGGACTAAAGCATGACATCATGATATTCAAATATTACAATAATATGTGCCATCCCTCATTTAATAAAATTAATTTGGGAATTCAGTGAAAGAAAGCAGAACTGACAAAAGGTGGAGACAACAGCCTAACCTCTTGAATTCTCTTCCTGTCACATTCAGTACCAGCTCAGTGAAAACCTGGAACTGTGTCAGTATCATATTTTGTTGGAGAAGAAATGGGATATCACAGTTCTGTTCCAGGAATGCAGAATACGAGTGTTTACTGGGCCATCGCTGTCCCCTCCACAGACACCAGGTATCTGCTTCTAGGAGCCCAGCATTTAGTGGGCTAGCACAGCTCAGAACAGCTGCCTTGCAGAGCACAGCGGACTCCAGCGGGCAGGAGTTTGGGGAATCTGCTCACAATGGTGCCCATCCGCATCTCTGAGTCAGGAAGTGGAGCTGGGCTCAGGGCCATCCTGGAGGTTGCGGGGAGGCTCGTGTCTCTTCTCCCCAGTGCAGGGGTCCACAACTGCTTCATGTGCATGCCACTCCTGTCAGCTCTCTTCCTCTCACTCATGAGCCATCATTTGTTTCCTCCTGAAAATTGAATTTTTAACTTTCAGGTTTACAGTACCTACTATCTTAGGATTTTACTGCAGACTAGGAGATGCATTTGACTGAACAAAAGGATCCAGCAGTCCAGCACTAACCTTGTGACTGTAAAGTTCTTAAATGTTTCCAAGAATTCTAGAGCTTTCCTTTTTACACCTGTCTCCATTTCTAATGTCCATTTTACATCATTGTGGAGATGTCTACATTCCTTCACCCTACCTATACCTAGCTTGTCTGTATGAAAAAGAATACCTCTGAGCTCTTCAGAACATCTCATTGTACACAGGGTAAATAGCTCCACTTCATTTTCTCCATTATGGCAGGCAGAATACAAAAAGTATTTTTTCAATCTTGATCTGTGGTCAGTATAGTCAGCAATTATTTAGGGTTCAGGGGTTTCTTTATAACCTCATGTTTCTTAAAAGTACTTTGTATTTATTTTTGTTCATTCAAGTTTGCATTATCCAGCAAGAAAATGGTGTGAGAAGCAAGTAACATTAGAGGAGAAATAATGGAAGACCAGAATGTCTGCACATTTTGCCATATGCCATTCTAAAGGTAATTATTTGCAATTTATGAAATATTTCCATTGACCTCTTACCATAAAATATTTTCTAAGTTATGTTTAAGTTATATTTATATTGCAATTATATTTTAATTATAAAATAACGAATGAAGTAAGTCTAATGACATATATCTGAAAACCAAATTAAACTGAGTGTCTTGCATTTTATCTGGAAACCCTAATCTCAATTGAGTCTAAGTGATGAGTTCTGTGAAGCACTTTATAAATTTTCTGGTCCCTTGTAACTTGCATTATCTATGTGCCACTTTAAAATCTCACCCATCCAATTGATCACACGTACTTGTTCAGTTCACTGACTTTTATACTTAAAAAAAAGAAAAACTCTTCCAAAACAGCAGTTCACAGAAGAGACATCAGATTTGTCATTTGCTTGAAGAATCAGCTATCATTAACCATGAGCGTCTGCAGTCAATGCACAGGTTAGGGGTACTGAACCACCCGGGTGAGCATAGGAAGTCAAGGTGATCCATACCCACCTTGAGAGAAGACTCAGATTTCTTTCCCTGAGATCTGTGATGGCTTAAGGGGTACATAAGGCTCCCCACCCCATCTGTGATATTCCCTGAGGAAAGAGCACTCAATTCATTGAGTTCTTTCTGCCTAAATCATCGGAGAGACTTAAAGTTTGCTCTGGTGACACCCTGTATGTTCCCCCTGAGAAGGTGTCAGGGAGACTCAAGGAAAGCAACAAGCAATGTAAATGATCTCAGCAGTTCCATGGAGACTTCGGAGATTTTGAGAACCTCATTCACCCACTTACAGGAAGTCAAATAGCAGAGCAACAGTGGGGAAACTTTCATACCACTGTACCCTTGTGAACGGGCACAGTTTCAGCATCACCAGGAAATTTTAAATGATTCCATCATCACCTAGGATTTTTCCTCTCACTTTATATTTCACAGTAAAATATAGAATAAGCACTGAATTTAAAATATATCATTTACCTCATACATGTGAGATAGAATTTAAGAATAAATAAAGCTAAGATATTTCTGCATTCTCCCCGGGTCACATAAATGGTAACTGAAAGATATGAAATTAATGCTTCATCTCTAAGTGAGTGAGAGCCATATTGAACTTTTCTTTCCTGAAAAGGATGACAGTTTTGATGGGGCAACGCTTTACTGCTATGTCTACATAGTGATTTTGTGATTTTTATTTCTTGAGCGGAGATGCTGCCACTGTTGAATCATATTCAGTGCAGCCCCATTGAGCATACAATCTACCAAAAACAATGTCACTCACTCATCTCACATTTCAAGCATGCATTCTTCTCTTTTCATTTAGAAAAATTGGGGGCCTTTTACACAGTGAGCATTGGAAGGTCAATGAACAAAATAACCAGATTTGATTAAAAAGTATTTCATGTTTATTTAATACCTCAATTATTATATAGATTATTGTCCTTTAACCATAATTAAAGTTAATCAACCCACATCTCTTTTATGTATTTTTTTGAGATAAAGACACGCAATAAGTTTCAGGATGAGCCTGTGCTCAATGTGCACCTCTGTGTAGCCTTGAACTCTCAGCAATCCTCTTGCCTTAGCCTCCTGAGGACTGGAATTAAAGATAGACATCATCACTCACAGAGTATCTGAGATAATTTTTGTTTTGTGTCTTATTTCCCAAGTAGACTCAGTTAGGGAAGACTTGGCCAGGGATTTGGCTCAGTAGTTCCACTGCCTGCCTCGCAAGCACAAGGTCCCAAGTTCAATCCCCTGTACCAAAAAAAAAAGAAAAAAAATTAGGAAAGACTCTAGTGTGTCTTGTCAAAATTGTCATCTTTGCCTTTCCATGAATAATTTGATGCTAAAATCATTCAAAAATTACTTATTTTTTGTGGTACATTGACATCTTCAGGACTCCCAGGCAGTTTCTTTCCATCTTTAATTTGTTTCTCATAACAATCATGTTTCTATTAAATCATTCAGGATGTTAAAGCACTTACCTGCTTATTCTATGACCAATTTCATATAAAAGTGTAATAGAGTTCAAATTTTTGCATATTTAGAGGTCTGTTATTTGTGATTAGATGTGGAATACTATACATATATGTTACTGTGTACTTTACATTTTTCAGTACATTTTCCTAAAAACTGTTAAATAGAAAAGATCACTATTAGATGTCCTAGATTTAGCACAAAAATGCTCCACATGCTAGCTTTTAAAATATCAAATATTTCACTGAACACAAAACCACGTATGATCCACACATATGCTGTATACATGCAAGAGATCTATTTTGAACTGTAGTATGAGATTCAGTACATAAAAATAAAAACAAGTTTAACAGTAAATGTGCAGAAGTCCTAATAGCTGACAAGTGCCGTAGGTGATCTGCGCTGGGAATACATAAACTCTAGCTTAGTATCTGTATATTCCAGCCAATGTTTAGGTATTACAAGTAACCAAATTCAAAATCTACCTGTGTGCT